CCTAATGGCCTCATAAATGCGCCTCCCAGTTTGTGATAATCAGATGCATCATGCTGTTGATTGTGAGTGGCCCAGTTTGTGTTGGAGCTGATTGCTGGATAACACCTCTTCAAATCTTCCCACATAAAGTGCTTAGATGAAGGAAAAGCACCGACAGAGACCAAAAAGAGGACTGTTTCTCCTTCTTTGGAGTGATTTTTTTTCCCCCTGTTCTTTTTGTTGTGAGTGTGCATGTTAATTGACAAATTAAAAAGTGCTCCATTACTTACGTAAACACAAAGTTGCCTGCTCTATAAGAGGCAATTATCTGTCCCTAAAGTGGCTTTTTACTGCAGCATGCAAGGGAAATAACCTTAATGAGTGACTAATTCAGTAATCACTAAACACTGATTTTTTTTCTGCCCCTTTTTTTTTTTTTTTTAATTCAGATCTTTTTTTAACAAGTTCCATTTCACCTTTTCACCTCCATCATCACTGCTCTGATCTGATTTGGAAAACAAATCAAAAGAACCTCTGTGGTGACGACCACGTCGCCACTTTCTGCTCCCTGAATGTGTATTAAAAAAACCTCTAGCAGAGCTGCTCTTGTCATTTTGTCTCGTCTGTCTTCAAGCATGAATCCTGAGAGCTGCAGTGTGTTGTCACAGTTGAAGCACAAACACAAATCCAACACTCATAGGGAAGCTGAACAGTGAACAGGTTTTTTGTGGAGTTGTTGTAAAATGAGGCCCAGATGAGGCAGTGGATAATAAAAGTTCCACAGAGGTGTGTTGAGCCATTAATGAGTGACTATAATAAGCAGTTGTTCCTGAATAATGAGCCCCCACATGTTGAATTTAGAATTAAATCACAAGGGGACCACAAACTATCATGCAATTGAATAGAGCTGGGAACGTAACAGGCCTGCAGTGAATGCTAGTTAAAGGAAGTGAACACAAATGGCTCCAAATATCATTACACATAAAAGACAAACAAGGTCCTCCAATTGATGTGCGTGTGCCCAAAGATTTGAAAATTGCAAAATTGGTGTTTGCGAGATATTTGCCTGTTTCAGTCCAAACACAAGCTTCCCATCCACATGCCTATAACATACAAGGGTTTAATGTTCCTTTCTCCATCTTGTGTGTAAATATAACTTGACTGGTTGTGTTTAGCATCAGACATTCAGATCACACTAGAGTGCACGTGTGCCTTGATATTCTTGCCTAAACCCCCCACAAAGCTTTAGAAACATAAGCTAAAGAGGCCACAGTTGTCCCCGGCACCTCCTGAACACGCCCCATGTTGTAGACGTCCTGTCAGCTCGCCAAACAGTAGACGCATCCTGGCCAAAATCATGCAGTGGCGAGCAGCGCTTTCAGCTGTGGCCGGAATGCTGTAAACTGTAATCCTCTGCTAGGAGTCACCAGCCAGAGCGGGGAGAGGCTGCTGGGCGCAGTTGTTTTGGCAGCTGAGGCGTGACTTTGCAGTAGCTGAAGTGGTGGATAATGACTCTGGGGACTGAGCAAAGAAGATCATTTCCCGCATGCTGGGGTTTAAAGTTTACTACAGAATTGTGACCAGAATGAAATAAAGACTTCTTATAAAATCACCCTTTTCCTGGAGTTTCGCTTTGACACTGCATTCAGGGACTTGTCCCCCTCTCCTGCAGTGTTACATAACTTTGCAGTATTGGCGACTGGTGAGACAGCAATCCAGCAACAGTGTGGCAAGACTGTACGAATTAAAATCAACGCTGGTACGCCACTGACTGCATGCATACACTGTGCGTTTATGCAGAACAGCAACAGGAGAAGCTTCCAAAACTGCACCGATGCAAGTGAAACATGACGTGATGCAAAACTTTCATGTCAGCAGAGCCGTCAGAGGGGACTCTAACATGTGGCAGCCAACATGGCGGATTGTTACTGGCATACACCGAAAGAAGGGGATCGTACCTGCAGACTTGCGAAGTGCACATGACGCAAACTTCCTGGTGTGCGACGATCCAATTTTGATGCAGTCGGCACTTCAGAGGTTGCTGTGTTTATTAAGCTGTACCACGTTATACCATCACAACACATTTTATAAGCTTTGTCCAGCTGCTGTAATGCAAAGAAAATCATTTTAGCTTCTTCACCCTCTGTGGAGGATGAAGGTTATTGGATTTGCTCACGAGTGAATATGCTTGTTTTTGTCATAACAACAATTTATCCCACAGGTTTTTAAAATATTTTAACACCTTTTTCCATTTTAATCCCCTTTTTTGGCCAAATATGAGGAAAAATCACATCTTTTGGAGGTGTAGCAAAAATCCCCCCCACAGTCTCCATGTTTCATAGCTTCTCCACGATCCTCTTCTCTCCAACAGACACAGACAGGCAGACCTCCACCGACCCGAGTACAGACACAATGGAGTGAGTGCTGGCTGCTTCATGACCCGATCACACTGTCTACTCTGCTGTCTAGTATCTATTTTTAGATGCTCTTGATAGTGCAAACTTGCAGTTAGTGTGTAAGGGGTAAGAAGCACAACCTAAAGTTCCTTGTGCGTAACAGTAATTGCAGTGGCATTCTCATATGATTATAATGAGGCTATTATGTAATTAGAGATAAATGAACTCAGTTTGATTAAAGAGAATTAATACCTGTCTTCACAATGACGAAGCATGTGAAGCTTTTCATACACAAAATGCCAAAAATTAGTTGGAACGGCTGCTGGTTTTAACATTTTAGAAGTCAGGTTTTCATCTTTGGATGTTTTATAAACTATTAGATCAAAAGAAATTCATCAATAATCAATTCACTGACTATCATTCAAAGGCAGTGTGATTCAAGTCATACCGTTAAAGAACTTGAAGGTTCAACACTCACACTGACCTTTGAGCAGAGATTATCATTAAACGTTAGTACAAGACAAATCTATATCACACCTTCTTGTTTCTCTAAACACTGCTGACCTCCACATGCTGACCTGCTTTTCTTTCCCCACTGCTATCTTCACCCATGCACTCACCCTTCTCTTTCTGCCTCCCTGCCAGTTGGTCATCATCCTCCTCCTCCAGCCTGATGGCCAGCAGCAACGTGACCAACAAGACCGACCCCCACTCCCTCAACTCCCGCGTCTTCATCGGCAACCTCAACACCCTGCTGGTCACCAAGGCTGATGTGGAGGCGATCTTCTCCAAGTACGGCAAGATCGTCGGCTGCTCCGTCCACAAGGGCTACGCCTTCGTCCAGTACTCCAACGAGAGGAACGCCAGGGCCGCCGTGGCCGGGGAGGACGGCCGCATGATCGTTGGACAGGTGCTAGGTGAGATGGAGGAAAAAAACAGCATGTTAAGGTATTGCTTGGTAATGTCACTGAAGAATAAAGCAAGTTAATCAATAATATAATACTATTTGCACTACATTAAAGACATTTGGAAGTGTTAGATAGTATATTTTGTTACCTTCGATCTAGGTATGCCTCCTTCTGTGCAGCGTATATGTGATATAGGTAAAGTTGTGGCAGTAGCTTTATATTTACTGCACTGAAAGCAAAATCAGTCTTTCTAATTTGGCAGGAAAGCAAATGAATACATTTCCCAACCTCCTATTTTTCTAATCACGAGTGCATTTAGAAAATTGTATGGAGACACAAAGTATAGGCTGTAAATATGTTCACTCCCTGACTTGTATCTGTTACAATGTGCAGTTTATTTGCTCACCTACAGATTAAAATCTGGGACATCCTTCCCATTTCACAGTTTAAACACATGCTGCTGCCCTCTAGTGTTACAATCAAGTAAAATGAAGTAAAGAAAGGAGAGTTGCTTCATATCCACTCTGAACAAGAGCAGAGGAGCCTCTCTGTTGTTCAGGCAAATAAAAATAAACGTGAGGACTTATTTGCCGATACAGTCTGTTAGAGGTAAAACCTGCACTAGTCTGACAAAAATAACATACCAGATGGAGATGTGGTGTGATGTGTTTGATGAAATTTCACACATTCTCTCCCATAGCGTTTTTCTTTCCTGGATTTCTAGTCCATCCTACCTTACCTCGATGTTTCTCCTCCTACAGACATCAATCTGGCAGGTGAACCGAAGCCTCATAGATCGAAGACAGTGAAGCGATCTGCAGGAGACATGTACAGGTGTGTGCATGCTGCTTTGCTCTCAGTCACAGTGCAGCAGCTTTAGCACATTGCTGGCTAATCTTTCTGTCCCCTCTCTTTTCACAGTTCATCTTTTGATTTGGACTACGACTTCCAAAGAGATTACTATGACAGGTAAGCAGTTTATTCTTTACACATGTAAGAATAATCTGCCTGCTGCTCAGCACATTTTTGGCCAGCTGGGGGGTTGTAAAGCAGCTTGCAGAGCCAGTAAGCTCAACACTTTGATGCTCTCCTTCTCAGAATGTACTCCTACCAGTCCCGGGTGCCTCATCCCCCTCCCCCTCTGTCCCGCGCGGTCATCCCCTCCAAACGTCCCAGGGTGAGCCTGAGCAGCGGAGGGAGCCGACGAACCAAGACCAGCTTCTCCTCCTCCTCCTCCAAGAGCAGCCAGAGAACTTCATGTACAAGTAGGTTCCTCACAGAGTCATCCATGCCGTCTTTACTGGTGACTTCCAAAGGTCATCTCAGTAGTGGCTTATCCCATACTTCCCCTACAGTGAAGGCAGATGATCTACAGACCATAAAAAGGGAGCTTACACAGATCAAACACAAGGTGGACTACCTGTTGGAGAGCTTAGACCACATGGAGAAGGACCACAGCAAGAAATCAGGTGGGTCCTGCTTTGATTTTAGGGCAGCCAGGAATCACGTCAACAGCCTAAAAACCTCCAAGAATACATTTACAAACAGACACGTGTACATGATTATTTACTTGTCAGGTTGGCATTAGCTAATACCAGTTCAAGCAAAGTCCACTTCTTCCAAAACAAAAGATGTCATTTTTTTTCACAAATATATTCTCTGTGACTCACGCTGCACAAAGATGAGTCATGGAGGTGCTTATGCAAATGTTAAATATACATTTCATGCACCCAGCGCCATCAATTATATAAACGTTCCAGGTATGGAGCAGACTGGCAGAAACAGAAAAATCAGCTTTTTATTTGAGTGTTTTTGTGTGTTTTCTTTCCACCATCTACTCAGAGATGAAAAGCTCCAAACCTGAGCCAGGTGAAGTGTCTCCTCTCCACTCATCTACCTCCAGCAAGAAGGAAGACAGTCTGAAGAGGGGCAAAGAGAGCCGGGAGCTGAATGACTCAGAGGAGGAGGGAGACCTGCTGGAGGATGAAGATGAGGTGAGGACAGGGGGAAAAGGAAAGGAGGACATCAGCAGCTGTTTTAAACAAGTTGTTGTATGCACATAGTTTGTTTTCAGCTATTATTCAACAGGCGAATTTAGTGCAAAGAACCTAACATGATTTATTTTTAAAACCATAAATCCAAAAAAGTTGGGATGATGTTAAAATATAAATAAAATTATTTCCAAAAACCATAAAACAATATTTCTTTCATAGTAGAGCAAAGGAAATATCAGATGTTTAAAGCTGGACATTTTACTGTTTTGTGAAAAATAGGAGCTCATTTTACCGGTC